GCGAATGTCTCATTGACATTCGCCAACTTTTTTGGACATTCGCCTATTGGCGAATGTCTACTGGCGAACATTGGCGAAAGTTGAATTGGCGAACGGCGACACATCCTCCAAAAAATAGCTCCAAGGATCAGTTGTTGCGTCAAAATCTCAGCGTATAAACATTATTATATTTCAATGAGACCGACAAATTTCATGCAAAATTCATCCTAATACAGATTTGAAACTTTTACCTCTATCCGAGATTTACAGAAAAAACGGTAAGAATCCTACAGATTCACTTTCTACCTCTGAAGAAACTGAAACTAGAAGCTTTTTTGCAAAGAGATATACAAATACTCTTATTTTGTAAATCTAGTACATATAATTATTTTCAAAACAAGCTGAAAACCGTCTATTCATTGTGACCATAACAGTCCGATTGGTCACATTTTTACGGATGCCGGCTTTCGATATGTCGCGAAGGATCAAAGAACCCCGTTGGATAAGACCTGAAACTTGCCACCGTTATAATTGTCCGTTTTCTCGTATGATTGGAAAGCCCTGACTCTAGCGCACAAGAATCTGTCGTTAGATTTTCTTCAAGGTACCTGGACTCAGGAAAAATCAAGTTTTCGCGATTGAATTGTCCAAATGATTCGTAGTTCAGTAAAATGATTGCAACTCCGATAACAAAGGATATTTTCACAATTGGCTTTCGCCATTGAGTATTTAAGTAAATTCCGGTTTTAAGACTGGTTTCAATTCATATTGAAAAATTCACAATTCGCTTAAAAAGCACCAGAATGAGTTAAAAACTTTATCACCTACAGTATCGAAACTATCGTTTATCTTATTTATAATTATTTGCTTTCAGTTTTATTGTAACGCACCAAAGAACATGACGAGGTTGAGCAAAAAGTTTAAATACTCGAACTCGTCTATCTTGGGACACCCTGAACCGCTTTACTAGCTTCGTCTGATCGATCACAAGATCGATGTAACAGTAGCCGATTGCGCTCGGTTGCCAGATCGAAAACCTTTTGTAATCCCGTCCAAACAGCATGTTTTACTTGTCTCTCAGTGCATAAGTTAACTCGTATTGGGTTAACTTATGCATTCGTATCAAGAAAAACCAGACATGGCCCTACCCGTGAAAGTATAATCTGAAAAAATATTAATTTTCCGTCAAACTTTGCGTTTATTATGTGTCTGATTCACCGCAAAACAAAACGGTGAATGAGAGAAAAGCCCCTGAGTCGTCAACTCGAACGGCTTTTTAAAAAAATCAAAATCACCGAAAGATCCCTGACTTCTCGTGACTAATCGATGACTTTTAAGCGTATTGCGACATGTGATCAGATTCAAGCGACTTCCTTCATATGGGTAGCCATACACTAGCTTGTTTGACGTAGGAGTTTTTGAAAATTAACTGAAAGCAGATACACTATGACATACTTGAAACAATGCCGACAGCAACAATAGCAGCATACACTCAATAATCCGAGTAATCCTATAGCAGCTAATACAATCAGTGGCAAATATGACTTAATTGAAACTGAAATAAAAAACATATGTCTGTGTTTTGTGTAGTGAATCGATTATTGTTCCTATAATCTTACATGGAGCTGTAGTTGTAGTTGCTGTGGTTCTAAAAAAAGCTCTATTACATTATGATTATATTGTCTCAAAAACAAAGTACTCACGCTGTTGAAGATGTGGATGAGGTGCTGGTCGATGTCGTTGCTGTTCTGCGATAGAAAGGTATATCGACATACAGATCATATTTTCAAAAGCAGACGCTATCGGCTAAAATCTTTTCTCCTTGCCTCACACAGAATTTTTTAATGATAAAAAATTCAGTTGAGAAGAACGTCTGTTGCTTTTCTGACCTTATGTGCGAACAACTACTATCAGCGCCAGACGTCAAGATACACGGATGTTTTTTGAATAACTTTCAATAGGAACAAGACAGAGGTCTATAGTTTTCAATGCTCGATAGTCAAGATCTTAAGATTTTTCCGTAGACACATAGTCCAAAGTGTCCTTTGCAAAATTAGATCTAAGCAAAAGTTTCATTTTGCAAGATTTAGGTGAGCCTGGCATTTTTCCCGAAGCCCCAGGATCTCTCTATGTTTAGGTGAAGCAGTATTACAAACACATGAAAACATAGGTTATTGACCACGATGAATCTCAGGGCAGTGTTTTTTTCGAAAAAGCTTTAAAAAAATAGTGAAAACGTATACTAGGCGAAATAATCTATTTTTTACTATTTTTACCAAAGCTTGAAAAATTCATAACTTACTTAAAATTGCTCTAAACTGCGTCAGAATATCAGAATATACCATATTTTATCTGTGCTACACCATGAACTTTAATAATAGTTTAAAAAGACGAACAGAAAGTACTTTGGTTTTGGAAAGGTCTTTTAGAAATCTTCAGGAATAAGACAACGTTTCGTACTAAGTTTTACCACTAGACACAGTTAAGTAGATAAAATATGGTATATTCTGATATTTTGACGCATTTGGAGCAATTTTAAGTGAGTTATGAATTTTTTAAGTTTTGGTAAAAATAGTAAAAAATAGATTATTTCGTCTAGTATACGTTTTCACTATTTTTTTGAAACTTTTTCGAAAAAAACACTGCCATGAGATTCCCCGTGGTCGATAATCTATGTTTTCATGTGTTTGTAATACTACTTCATCTAAACATAGAGAGATCCTGGGGCTTCGGGAAAAATGTCAGGCTCGCCTAAATCTTGCAAAATGAAACTTTTGCTTAGATCTAATTTTGCAAAGGACACTTTGGACTATGTGTCTACGGAAAAATCTTAAGATCTTGACTATCGAGCATTGAAAACTATAGACCTCTGTCTTGTTCCTATTGAAAGTTATTCAAAAAACATCCGTGTATCTTGACTTCTGGCGCTGATAATAGTGTATTCATATAGACTCACGTGCTGGTTGTGCTAGTCGTTGTTGATGACCTAAATTCATATCATTCAGTGCAATGTATATCGAGATTTAATTAATTTTTATGACCTACGTGGAAGTTGTACTCGTTGTACTGGAAGTACTCGTTGTTGACGTACTAAAAATGTATGAATTAGTTGTGTCAGTTAGTGACAAAACGCTTTTTTAGTGCAGACTTTTCGGATCCAAAAGAGAAACTCCGACAGATTTCAGTTGGCATGCTCTTCTATAATACGATAAGTGCTTCACCTTATAGAAGGCTCTTCCGAAGCTATGTTTCCGTCAAAAGGGTAATTTAAATAGTAGACCACTCCAGCTCCTCTTAAAGTTACACTCCTTTTTCGTAACATCCAACATGATCTGCCCGTCGCGGTTTCACAAAAATTTACCGAAACTTTCGCCATACATCTAAGAAACAGTAAATAGAATAAAGATTACTGAGGCGAATTTTCAATAATTAGAACAAGCCTAATTATCTCAGTTTTTATCATGTTTTTTTTACAGGGACATTGTTTTACATGCAAGGGCAAGACTAATTTTTGTTTCAAAATCAAAACTTTTCTTTTACGCTGTCGACGTTATGGGAAAGAACGTGTTCAAGTGGTTCGCTTTTGCTTATATAGGTGAGAAGCCGTTCTTAAACAGAAAACAATTTGTTCATAAGCAGAAACCAAAAAAACATTTTTATCATACGAATGTTTTTTGTTGTGTAAACATTTCGAAATGAATATTTGGAAATCTCTTTTCCTAGGATTATTTGAGAACACACTATAAGTGACATCCTCTCGAAATGTGGGTGGGGCTACTGGGTGCGCTCACTTGAACGAACACTCGCGTCTACGTATGTCAACTGACCAGTTGTCGCTGATGGCTGAAAATATCCTCGGGGGTTCTCAGCTGCCGCCATTGATATACTTTTTCTTCCTTTTAAGTGATACAAAGGAAACGTAAAAGAGTGATCGCAAACTTGTTTATCTACAAAACTGAAGGAATTGAAAACTGTAAAATGCAGTTTGAATACAAGAATGTCATTTCCTTGTATTCAGGTAAACAGGGTGATAGGGATTCCTACCAACCAGGGGCGCCCGATAAGGGGAGGGATCCCCCCCTGCTTTTTGAAAAAATTTACTCCGAAATCAGGATTTTCTTACTCCGAAAATTATGCCTTTGACTTACGAGAATATCCTACGGAGTAAAGCGTTTACTTGTAC